AGTTAGACCAGGTCAGGTGCTTGTGACCCTTAGCCACTAGAAGGCAGAAACTCTATTTACCCTGCAATTACCAATGGATTTGGCAGAAAGTAGGCTTGGGTCAAATGTAATGAATGAACAAGAAGAGGGAAAGAGATAATAGAGAACACTGAAGAAATGGCAGAGAGTTGAATGTGATGTGGCTGGCAAGGCAAAGTCACTATACATTCTTGAGATAGGAAATGACAACATAGACCCAAAGTACTTCTCCCTCAACTGGACTGCCAATCCAGTGGACACGGGTAGGACTCATCTAACAGACAACTCGTGGAACTCAGCAGCACTCAACACTACCGACCCTGCCTCACTCTTGAAACACTTCATTTCCAGCTTCCATGATTCCATTCTCTCCTGGCTTTCTGCTGTTTACTCTACCAGAGGCTCCTTTTTAACTTCCTCTAAGAACTTGTCCTACTTTTCCCAATCTTTCAATGTCCATAAATGTGTATCCCCAGCCCAGAGTTTTTCTTCCAACCTCCCGATTCGTAAATTCAACGACTTTCTTGATAGCTTTACTTGGATGTTTCCTAGACACATCAAATTTACTATCTGCAAAATTAAGCTCTGAATTTTCTGCTAGAAACACTCCTCTCCACTTGCATATCTCAATAAATGGGATTAACATCTACCCACTCATTAAAATCCAAAGCCTAGGAATCATTCATATCTTCTTCCTTTCTCTCACACAATGTCTAATCCATCAGCAAATTCAGCTACTTCTATGCCCCAAAATATATCTTAAACCTATCTTTCCAGGGCCACTACTCTCTAGTCAGGCATCAACATCCTAACAGATCTCCCCTCTTCTACTTCTACTAGCTTCAGTTATTCTCCACATAAAAGCCAGAGAAATCTTTCAATGATATAAATCAGATTATATCACTCTGATGACTTTCCATGACACTTTGAATAAAATGTAAACTGCTTACCACTCAGAATCTTTATATTCATTAGATGCTCCTGGCTCCTGGGGCTAAGATCTTCATGAACCTATAAAAAATGTTTGAGATGGGGAAAAAAAAGAACTAGCTCCAAAAAACTAAAAAATCAAAAATCAATGTGACTACATGATATAACAATATGTCAACTAATCCTAAATGTAAAGTTAATCATTATGTAGTCATTTATGTATTTTATTTTAATAAATGATGTGGATATAAAGTAGAGTGGGTCCCCCAAAGCTCGAATATATAGAGCCTACAGGGGTTCTAAAATGAGCCTCTTTTAAGGCCTTTATATAAGGTCCTGCATACCCCATCTGTGCCTACCTCTCCATAGTCTCCATGATGCTACTCTCCTACTTACTCACTAAACTCAGCCAGGCAGCCTTACAAATCCCTACAATGTACCAAAATCTTTTCTACTGTTCCCTTTGTCCCAAGCTCTTTCCTGACTGGTTCCTTTTCCTCCACTAGTTCTCGAATTAAGTGTAATCTCCTTAAAGAGACCTTCCCGACCAGTCCATTTAAAGTAGGCACCCCCCCTTCCATACTATCTTTTTCTCTGTTGCCTTATTTCCTCCATAACACTGTGTGTTTTATGCTATCTTTCCCATTAGACTAATAAGCCCCATTAAGGCAGGGAAATACATGCGCCTTGTTCTCTCTTGTGTCCTTAGGGCCCACTCCAGTAGCTGGCCCAGAGCAGGCTTTAATAAATAGCTACTGAATGAATGAATAAATGCGTAAGAACCTCATTTTCAAGGGAAGAGGGCCAAGCTAGCAAGTTCTGTCTTGGAATCCATCTTGGGAGGCTGGAGGTACAAATGCTCGTCTGATTCTAGGAACCCAGATAGGTTTAAAAAAGAATGTTTGGAGGTTTCCTCCAACAGAAGTTTTGATGAAAGCTCTCTAATTTACCCTTCTGGGGTGGGGGCAAGGGGAACTAAAAATGGGCTCAAAACTAGGTTGAAGGGAGAGGAAGTGGTTTGGAGCAGACGCCGGGAGCGTCAAGTACCGGCTCTTCCTTTGCACCCACCCCTCCCCCTAGACTCTAACGGCTCCACCCCTTCCTGTCTTCAACTTGGAGCAAAGGGTCGCGTTCATCTCTGTTTGGGCTCCGAGGACCTCATCCTCGTTCATTATTCATGGTGTAGGAGGGCACTATGGGTGCTCATATTTTTTACTATTCATGAGGAGGCGGGGTCTCTTTCCCGTGTGGATGTGGTGCTCCTGAGAGGGTTCTAAAATATTCATGAGAGAGGAGGGCACTATGGGAGCCGGCGTGGGCGGCTTACTATTTATGAGGGGGCGGGGCTTCCTTCCCGCTGGGGCTCCTGGGAGGATTCTAAAATATTCTTGAGGCCACGGGGACGCTTGGGAGGCGGGAACACAGCTCCGGAGCCGACCGGAGCTGGACCCGCCCTCAACCCGGCGGGAAAACCTTGAGGAGAAATTTTCTTTTTTAAACATTAAGAAATTTGAGGATGGTGGGGCAGAACAGCTAAGTCCCATTTGCCTGTGATTCCTTAGGCGGAAAACTCAAAATCTGTGGTAAAAAGAGATTTTTTTCCCCAGTACTTTCTTGAGATAGTTTCATCTTTTCCTTGACTGAAGGGGGTAAAAAAATGCATCACCATGTGGTTTGATTCTTATATCGGCCAGTTTCTGCTTTATGGTGTCCCTGGTTTAGCTCTTTGGAGGTGTTTGGGGCCAATACCCTAGCAGGAGTGGGTCTCTTCTAGGGTTTTCTTAGGTTGAGACAAAATAGAAATTGCGGTGAATTGCTGTTGGACGGTTTTCTCTGAAAGGGGGGGAAGTTCAGCCAAGAAGGCCTTCAAACCCTTTCCCAGTCAACAACGAATGGGGTGGAACGGAGGCATGGAAACTTTATTAGTATTATTTTGGTCAGTGATTCTCATTCTCTTTGGGGAGGAGGGAGAAAACCGGAAATAGTTTGGGATTACACCTTCGGGATTTTCAGAAAAGCCTGTATTCCCTCCGAAATCGTCCAGCTCTCCTCCAGTGAGAAAAATAAGGAATTGTAAGAGGAGACTTCGGTGTTAAAAGAAGGGGCCCATTGAGTTTTAATCCTCAGAGGTTTAAATATATACGCTTAGTGGTTGACACTGAAGTCCCCGGGGCTCCCAGGGGTCAGTGAGTCTCTGAAGAGCCCAAAGGCCCCATCTAAGTCCCACTTTACATGTTCTTCACAGACCGGACAAATCCTAGGCCCGATTTATAATTTTATCACAATGAAAATGCTTCAAAGTGCCTACTGTGAAAGTTAAAAACCACCTCATGGATCAACATTCTTCCATTTATTTACATGCAGCCTTTAAAATATATATATACTTGCAGAAGTATCTATTGGCATGGAATGAAGTTAGTTTTCCTTATCATTGAAAAAAGCGGATTACAAAATAGTATGAACAGTGATCTTTTTTGTCAGAAGATATATATATATATATATTTTATATATAGTTGTATGTGATATATATAATTCTGGAGTGATATAAACCAAAGTTTCTAAGTGAATTTAAGTGTCTTCTTTTTGTCTTGCTGTACTTTGTAAACTTTTTTGACAATGCAATATGTTACTTGTGTAATTTTTTTTTAATTTTATTTTTTATAAACATATAATATATTTTTATCCCCAGGGGTACAGGTACTTGTGTAATTTTAATGATTATTTTAAAATAGCTTCTAATTGAAGTGCTCATGGAATGCTTAAGCAAAGTGCTATGGTATGGTTTTAAAGGAGGTTCACAGTATGTTTTTCACTAAGAACTAAATTTCTTGGCCATGTTTTCAAAGTATAACTGATTTTAAGTTGATATGTAACGTTTTAGATGAGTAAGTAACAATGTGATTTTAGCAAGTTTGTGACAAAAGGAGAATATGCATTTGGGTCAGATATATTTGTAACTCTTTGATGAAATGTCTTAGTTGTTACTTCAGAAACAAAGGCTTAGAGTTGTTGTTATGTACATGTATGGGTATATGTACAAAAGACAATGTCTTCTGAATTGGCGTAATAGTGACACAAAGTCACCTATTATGAATATTTTTTTAAGAATTATTTTTTGGTGTAAGTAAATTATCAGAGTTTTTAATAAGTTCTAAGAAATGTTCATTTCAAAATCAAGTTGTGTAGGCCCTTCTTAAGAATTGTAAGTGACCAAAAGTGGAATTAGGAGGAAAATTATTGTTCATTTATTTATTCTAATATTTTTAATTTTACAGGACTTTAATTTTGCTGTTTATTTGTGTTATACAGCCCAGCACGTAATTGGTAATAGTAATGCAAGCTTCTTAATCTGTTAGAACTTGTAAATTTTAAATGTTCTAAAGTTAGAATTTCTATTTCTTGTCTCTATTTTTACTGCTTCCAACAAAGAAAATATCAGTACTCAGTTTGAAAGAAATGGAAAAACTTCACTACAAAATTTTAAAGCTACAATGATATTTTGATTTTTTTTAAATGTAAAGATTATAAAAGCAACATACTAATTGACAGATCTTGAATGTTTTGAATTTGTTATATTCGTTTTTTTCTGTCAAATCTTTTACTTTTTAAAGATTTTGCATATTTTCTTAGACTATATCTCATCCAAATACATGTCTCTTATTCTACTAAAATTCTTTTTCTAGAATATTTGGCTAAGAGGGAAAAGACTTAAAACATTTCATATCATTTGAGATGAATAGATACACTCTTAATTGGTGGGAGCTCCGTAAATTAGACATTATATTAAAGGTTTTGTTAATAGAGGTGTTCCTAGTTGACTGAGTCAGTAGAGCATGTGACTCTTGATTTTGGGGTCCTAAGTTTGAGCCCCACGATGTGGGTAGAAATCACTTTAAAAAAAAAGTTTTGTAAATAGATAGATAGCTATTTACCAACAAGGTATCAGTTTCTCCATTTTAAAAAAACAGCTCTTTGTTGTTATAATTTCCTTCTCCTTTGTCTCTTGTATTTTATTTTTCTAACCAGGATAAATTCATGAGATAAGAAAAAGGATGGCATCTAGAATAAATACCAGTTTCACTTTGATTCCCAACCAGAAATATAGACGTAGTAATCGTCGATCCAGCAGCTATTTTTCCAACATCCTTGGCTCAGATTCTCAGCCCTTATCAACGCTTGGAAATTTTAAAGCCTTGCCATTGGAAATATTCCAAATAATCTTAAGATATTTATCAGGTGAGGTCTGGGAACTATGAGTAGGCTATATAGATGCTTGATTTTTTTTTTTTTCCCCCGCAAGAACTACTTTGTCATCTTGGGCCCTGCTAGAATGTTAATGGTATTTACATTATGTTTGTTTTCTGGTTTCATCATTATTAGGTAAGGGATATGATGAAGAAAGTGTGGCATTCAAACTCTTTAAAGTATGCCTCTAATTATAACTTAACTGTTACATCCCTAAGTATTTCCAACTTATTGAACAGGAGATTTAAAACAATTTAAAATTTTCCCCTTTTCCTCCACTTTTTTATATATTTTATTATTTAGTATATTGTTGATGAGCTAACTTATAAATTCATAGATTGTACTAATAATGATGTTCTTGTAATTAAGCTATTTATATATATATGTGTATGTATTTCTTTTGGTAGTGAAGGATATCAGCATGCTAAGCATGGTGTCCAAAACAGTCAGCCAGCACATTATTAATTATATTTCAACCTCGTCAGGAAGCAAAAGACTTTTACTACAGGATTTTCATAACCTTGAGCTGCCTAGCAAGAGACAAGACTCTGCCATACTGGAACATTACAGATCTCTAGGTAATTTATGTAATAAGAATTGTAACAAGTAAAGAACTACACTTAATTAAGGGGATTTTATTAAAGAATTCCGTAGGGCCTGTGGGAAATGGGGGATATTTCTTAAAATGTGCCTATTTCTATGATGCTTTTATTCTTCAGTGTGAAGACTTTTCCATAATAGTCCCTTATACTTATCTTTAAAGATGAGAGAATGCGCTTTAGTGTAAAGAATCAGTCCTTGTGGTTTCATGTGCATACAGTGTCACCTTTCCTTATTGTTTAAGTGACTTTCCAGTGAAATTGATGTACTTCCTATACTTCCTGGGGATCTAAAGATTTTTATTTCTAAACTTCTTTTCTCTTTCAACCATAATCTAGTCCTTAAAATAGAAAAGAAATGTAAACACATTATTGTGGAAGATCACTTATTCTCTTATCAGAAACAATTTTTTAAAAGTACTCCACACATTTATTAATAAATCATTACACTATAATAAATTAATCTTATCAAAGGAAATTCCATATAATCCATTCCCTTGATTTAAAATCATCTATGTCTTTTACCCCATTCATTGATGTACTCAAATAAAATTCTAATTTTGACTTGACTAGTGACACCAATTTAATTATGAAACTACCTTATAATTAACCAAAACATGGCAATAAAGCCTAAAATTAAGGTGATGTTTTCAATTTTTAAATAAAGTCATAATAGTTAAGTTAAATGATTATTACCTTTTAGTAGCGCAAGGAAGCCTAGCTTTAAGATAATAAAATAAGACTATATACATGTATGTAAATACATAAAAGTATATTTAATAAATTAATAAGATTACTATTAATTAGATTTAGTTTCATAAGAGTAAATGAAAGGTGTGTAATATGATTACAGTGTTATGTGTTTCAGTATTTGTAGCTGGACTTAGTAAAGCCTGTAACAGAATATAGCAATGACTTTTTGCTACTTGTCATTGTAAATATCTTTTTTCAAACATCCTTAGTTGTAGAATAAGTGGTACAGTAAAAGAGCTTATTTTATGGTTTTGATCTGAAAGAATTTTTTTTCTCCCTAACCAAGATTCAATCACTTAAAGAAGCAAAAAAACATTAAGATAATTATATGGATAATTCAGTGAAAAATACAAATATGTATTGATCTTAATAGCCAGCTTTTATTTATTTATTTATTTATTTATTTTTAAAGTCAGCATTCCAGCTCTGTTTCTTTCTTTCTTTTTTTTTTTTTAAGATTTATTTATTTATTTATTTGACAGAGATCACAAGTAGGCAGAGAGGCAGGCAGAGAGAGAGAGAGAGGAAGAAGCAGGCTCCCTGCTGAGCAGAGAGCCCCATGAGGGGCTCGATTCCAGGACCCTGGGATCATGACCTGAGCGGAAGGCAGAGGCTTTAACCCACTGAGCCACCCAGACACCCCAATAGCCAGCTTTTAAACACAGTTTTATTCACGTAATGATTTCAACCTTCCACTTAGTTTTGGTGCAGACACCTGGCTTATGACTGATTCTTTTTTTTTTTTTTTTATGACTGATTCTTTAGGTAAATGTTTGATGTACTTACTGTTTTCTCATGTTGCCTTTCTTATCTGATCTGTTCTTGTTTTCAGACATTAAAATAACATTTTCAGAATTCTGTGCTCTGAAGATTATAAATTTTAATTTGCTTCTTCATATAAGACAGAGCAGATGGCCAGTGTGAAAAGAACATTACATCTGACTCTATTTTAGTGGGAAGAAATTTTAAAAGTTAGTCTATAAAGAGTATAGCAGAGCACCTGTGTTAAAAAAATAAATAAGTCAGCCAGTATTGGTTTTTATGGTAAATTGCAATCCTCAAAAATAGGAGTTTTACATTAGAAAAAGCAACCAGCATACAATTATAGCTTACACTTCCCCAGCTATGATCTGCCATGGGACTGGATGCCAGAACATGAAAGGGAAAGAACTCAGCTTAAAAACCAAACATTGAAAATGTCTTTTTATGTACAAAAATACAGAGGGTTTATATTTCAGACTCAGTTCTGGTCATGTGTTGTCCAAACATAGCAACTTCTAAAAATAAATTGGATTCCCATAGATTCTATAGAATTATCTGAAGTAGCTATCATATACGTTAAAAAAAAAAAGTAAATGCAAGGAAGATAAAGATGGAGAAATTCATGATATTCAGGTATTTATTTTCCTACCATATATCTTATTTTTAGTAACATTGCCCTTATAGGAATGTTAACAATTTATTGCCATTTTAGGAAAACAGACACATAAAGTTAGAGGAAACAGATCATACACTTCTGTCACTGTAGTTCAAGTTACATGTCTCACTGGGAAATTGAAGGGTTTTTTTTTTTCTTTTTTAAAATATCTGAACACAAAATTCTATACATTCTTAACATGTAAGCCCCATAAAAGGATATCTTTGAAGGAAGAAATGGATATTTCATCCAAACTGAATACTTTCTGTGAGTGAAAATAACTTCTAACCTCTGAAATTTTAAGTACTTACGATTCAAAAATTTTTTATATGGAGAAGGGAATACAAAATCGCTTTTCTCATTCTTTCCATGTTTTACATTAACAACTCTTAAAGCATTTTCCTTTGTGAACATGTTAATTTCAAGAAATATTGGAATCTGTTTTCTGTAGAATAAAGATACAGTTCCACTAGTGCATCTTTGTGTCTGTTGTTATATCTTTTTTAATCTAAATATTTTCTATATCTATTTTATAATACCAATTTCATCATTTTTATAAGATTTTTATACCACTTAGTAGACATCACAGTTACTTGGTAAACACCATATATTGTAAGTATTTGGTACCCTTGCTTCCAAACTTCCTCTTCAGATGATCATATCAGCTCACAGTCCACTGTGATTTACTGTACTTGACTTTCAAGGAAATGTTATGCTGTGCTTTACAGGTACTTTTACATTAATTGTATCGTTGTCATTTTTTTCATGTGTCTCTTTATGTTTTCAGGTCTGCTGTTTAAAAGATGTACGTTGCTGCTACCCACAAGGGAAAGACTAAAGTATATTCACAAAACACTGGCAGAAGTAAGATCACACTTCTCAACTGGTTCATAATCTTGATTTCTAGTAAAGCTATTTGTTATAGCTTTTTAACAAGCTATGGATGGACCATTTTAGATCCATCTTCAATTAGTAGAATTTTGTGAATTAGTACTAATAACTGATTGATGATAATCTAATACTATATCAAGTATCCAGAGATTATAAAACACCAAAATGTAGTAGTCTTTTACTTATCATAAAATAATTTTTATGTATAACTAAGAATATCATTCAAGTTTATTAGAGTTATCAGAGTATAAAAGTATTTTTTAACCTACATGAGAATCCTGAGGCTGTTTTAAAGTGGTGATTTAGATTTTTATTAAAATGAAATAATTTCTGAATGTTTACTCTTACTGTTTATGAATGTATGAAAACAAGGAAAGTATTTTTTTAAGATTTTATTTATTTATTTGACAGATAGAGATCACAAGTAAGCAGAGAGGCAGGCAGAGAGAGAGAGAGAGGAGGAAGCAGGTTCCCAACTGAGCAGAGAGCCTGATGCGGGGCTCGATCCTAGGACCCTGGGATCATGACCTGAGCCAAAGGCAGAGGTTTTAACCCATTGAGCCACCCAGGTGCCCCAGGAAGTTTTTTTTAATATTAAAATAACAGAACTTCTGAGGGTGCCTGGGTGGCTTAGTTGGTTAAGCGTCCGACTCTTGGTTTCAGCTCAGGTCATAATCTCAGGGTTGTGGGATTGAGCCCCATATTAGGCTCAGGCCTCAATGGGGGATTTTCTTGAGGTTCTCTCTCCCTCTCCCTCTCCCTTTGCCCCTAGCACCCCCTCCCCATGCACACAAGCACACTCTCTCTAACTCTCTCTAAAATAAATAAATCTTTAAAACATTAAAAAAAATAAAACTTTTTATTTTTTTTATTTTTTTATAAACATATGATGTATTTTTATCCCCAGGGGTACAGGTCTGTGAATTGCCAGGTTTACACACTTCACAGCACTCACCATAGCACGTACCCTCCCCAATGTCCATAACCCCACCCCCCTCTTCCAACCCCCCTCCTCCCAGCAACCTAAAAATATAAAACTTTTATGGTAATTTATGACTTGAATGTGTATCCATGTGTTTAGGCATAATCTCTGTATAAGTGTTGATTTTCAATATACAAACTCAAACATACATCCAACACTGATGGTTCAGTTCTACACTCAATAGTATGCAGACTGGGGCGCCTGGGTGGCTCAGTGGGTTAAAGCCTCTGCCTTCGGCTCAGGTCATGATCCCAGGGTCATGGGATCGAGCCCCGCATCGGGCTGTCTGCTCAGCGGGGAACCTGCTTCCTCCTCTCTCTCTCTGCCCACCTCTCCACCTACTTGTGATCTCTCTCTCTGTCAAATGAATAAATAAAATCTTAAAAAAAAAAAAATAGTATGCAGACTGTTTCTGATGCATTTGCTTTTTTTCATGTCAGTATTTGCACTGAGTTCAGGTCTATATTATTAGAGCAGCTTCTCAGATAATCATTCTGCCATCTCTTTCTTTACTTTGCAAGACATTCTGTGTGCTGAATCAAGGTTATTCTTCCCAAAGCATCCCTTTCATTGAGTTAATTTTCTTACTTAAAAATCTTTCAGTGGCTACTTAATTTCGGCAAGATAAGGTCCAAAGTCTGTAGCTGCTATTTAGGGCTCTTCCTGACAGTGCAACCTTACTCCCTGCTACACTGAGCCCGGTTAAGTATGTCATATCTTTCTTCCCACATAAAGCTTTTCATTCCTACCACTGTAAAATGTTATCCTTATTTTTTCCCTCACCTATCTTTCTTATCTTTTTCATTCCTTATATTTGAATCCTACTTTAAGACAATGCTTTTTTCACATGCTTCAGAAGCTGTTTTGATCATTCCCAAATTTCTCTTTTTTGCTTTCACAGTGTCTAATAGAGTGTGTATTTAGTCATTTTCACATCTATGTATATTCTAACCTGAATTATCAAAATAATTTCACATGTGTCTATTTTATTCTTCTAAATAAATTATGAACTCCTTTAAGACACTCGGTTTTATACTTCTTTTGTGACCTTACTTATGTAACACAATGCTAGTTATTTAGCCTTTTCATTATTTTCAATTAATAGTGAAAAATATTCCTGCATATTTCCATTAAATTTGAATGTCCAATCATTGTACAGTTCCATTGTAAAAGAGGAATTAATAGTTGTTCTCTTTACAGGTTTCCTGTTTTAAATTCAATGGCTGTGCAACTCCTATCCAATGTTTAGGATTATCATGTTATGGCATATTTTTACAGGTACATTTTTTTTTAAATGAAAGAGGAAAAGGCATGTTTTTTGAAGTGTTAACAGGTAGAGCATGTAGTCTACATTTCCATAGGTTAATAAAAATAATAATAATCTAAAAAGAGAACAAAATAAAATTATTAAGATTTGGGGCGCCTGGGTGGCTCAGTGGGTTAAGCCGCTGCCTTCGGCTCAGGTCGTGATCTCGGGGTCCTGGGATCGAGTCCCACATCGGGCTCTCTGCTCGGCAGGAAGCCTGCTTCCCTCTCTCTCTCTCTGCCTGCCTCTCCGTCTACTTGTGATCTCTCTCTGTCAAATAAATTTAAAAAAAAATTATTAAGATTTGAGGAAGTGTTAATCTAACAGTGTATTTGCCACCTCAGATTTTTTTCTTGAATTTCTCGAAACATTTATTTGCTCAATACCAATATACTTGAAGTTTTCAGCCAGTTGTAAAGACTAGAAATCTTGTGGGGTGGTGTGCGCGGGTGCGCGCACATGTGTGTGTGTATGTAATGAATTTTTAGTTTTTTGCTAGTTATTTAAGATGTGATTTTTAGAAGTGAAAAAAAATTAAAGCTTTGGAAGATGGTAGATGTGTTAACTAACCTTACTGTGGTAATTATTTTGCAGTATGTATTAATTTTAAAATCACTGCATTATATACTTTAAGTTACACAATGTTATATGTCAATTAGATCTCAAGCTGATAAAAAAGAAATCAACTACCTGATTTTTTAAAAGTTTTTGACTAATCTTTTATTATAAACAAAGAAGATTAATACTATTATTTAGTGTTACTCAATATTAATGGTATATTATTAATCTATTATATTGTTTTAAGCAGTTTAAATGTTAAAGGTAGGGCGCCTGGGTGGCTCAGTGGGTTAAGCCACTGCCTTCGGCTCAGGTCATGATCTCAGGGTCCTGGGATCGAGTCCCGCATCGGGCTCTCTGCTCAGCAGGGAGCCTGCTTCCCTTCCTAGCTCTCTGCCTGCCTCTCTGCCTACTTGTGATCTCTGTCTGTCAAATAAATAAATAAAGTCTTTAAAAAAAAAATAAATGTTAAAGGTATAGTTTACCTTTGAAGAACATGGGTTTGAACTGTCCAGGTTCACTTATACACAGATTTTTTTCAATAAATACAGTACAGTGCTATAAGTGTATTACCTCTTCCTTATGATTTTCTTTTTTTATGATTTTCTTAATAACATTTTCTTTTCTCTCACTTTATTATAAGAATACAGTAGACAATACATATAACATACAAAATATATGTCAATTGACTATGTTATTGGGAAGGCTTGCAGTCAGCAGCAGGCTATTATTAATAGTTAAGTTTTGGGTAAGCCAAAATTGACTGGGGTGGTGTAAGTGCCCTAATCCCTGTCTTTTTCTTTTCTTTTTTTTAAGATTTTTATTAATTTGACAGAGAGAGATAGAGAGAGGGAACACAAGCAGGGGGTGGTGCGAGAGGGAGAAATAGGCTTCCCGCAGAGCAGGGAACCTGATGTGGGACTTGATCCCAGAACCCTGGGATCATGACCTGAGCCAAAGGCAGACGCTTAATGAATGAGCCACCCAGGCGCTCACCCCTGCCTTTCTCAAGGATCAACTGTAAGAACTTATTTAAAACTTAACCTTACAGGGGTGCCTGGGTGGCTCAGTGGGTTAAGCCTCTGCCTTTGGTTCAGGTCCTGATCTTGGGCTCCTGGGATTGAGCCCCACATCGGGCTCTCTGCTCCACGGTGAGCCTCTTCCCCTTCTCTCTCTGCCTGCCTCTCTGCCTACTTATGATCTCTCTCTCTATCAAATAAATAAATAAAATCTTAAAAAAAAAAAAACCTTGCAAAGTTTACAACAATTTTGCTCTATATGCCAGCCTGCCAGCCACCATCTGCATGCCCAGATTCCAGTAGCGTAGGCCCTCCTACCATCTCTCTTCTAAGATATGTTTTTGCTTTTGGGGGAAGAAGGATGGGTAATATAAACACATATATTTATATAAAATTCAAAAGGTGCAAACCTGTATAAAATGAAAAGGAAGTCTACCATCAGGGCCTGTAAGTGGTCCACCGAGTTGCCTTCAACAAAAGTAACTGTTGTTAGCAGTTTCTTCTATGTGCTTGCACAGGGAATGTGATTAATTCATAAACTATTAAAATCCAGTTCAACTTTTTTTTTTTTTAAATATTTTATTTATTTATTTGACAGACAGAGATCACAAGTAGGCAGAGAGGCAGGCAGAGAGAGAGGAGGAAGCAGGCTCCCTGCTGAGCAGAGAGCCTGATATGGGGCTCGATCCCAGGACCCTGGGACCATGACCTGAGCCGAAGGCAAGAGGCTTTAACCCACTGAGCCACCCAGGTGCCCCCAGTTCAACTATTTTAAGAAAAATTGATATGATTAATCAACCTTTTCAAAATCTAACTATAGATTAGCATGCCATTTGAATTTCCTTTTCATGTATGTTTAACTGTACATTCTGGTTGGGTCAAAGATAAGTATTAAACTTTGTCCTAACAAAAAATGTTCGCTCACTCGCATCAGTTATTAGTTATTATCAGTTATTACTAATGTTATTAGTAAGTGCTCATAATTGTCACATTAAGATGAGGTCATTCTCATTTGTAAGCAGTATCATAAATGATAACTAGAGGAAGTCAAAGGGATTCTGTTGAAAACTAAGACACGGTATGGCTGTGCCACGTATCTAATGTTGTGCTCTAGGATTTTGGTCTTTGTTACTTTGCCCATACTGTCAGGGTTCAGGATTCAGCACCATTTGAAAGTGTTCTGAAAGGATACTCCCTTGACAACCAAAAAGAAACTGGGTTTGGGGGCATTTCTAGGATTTGTTTATGTATATTTTCTTATTAATTTGAATCTTCCATTGTGGATAAAAATTGCACATCACTGTGATCATGCTCATAAGCTAGCAGTGACTTATATTTTGATTTGATGGTCAGGACATCTGTAATATTTCCTTCATTTTATTATTCTCAGACCTTAACGGCAGGTTGGGATGGACTCGAGTGCCATCGCGTGTATAACTTCTTATGTGAGCTGACTAATCTCTCCCGCAAGATGCAGGCCGTTGTCTGCAGCAAACCAGGTAAAAAAAACTACAATGCACAGCTAATGTTATACAGATACTAAAATAGAAAAAAAAAAAAATAGCAGAGTTCGAAAGTATGTTTAAAAGAAAATCATGACATCCATATGTAGTAAAAGGACAAAGGAATGTAAGGAGAAGATAAACACTGAATTAGATTGTGAGGCACATGATTACAGAAAGAAGTATTCAGAGGGCTCAACTGTATGAATAATATTTTATTAATTAAGACTGGATGGAGGATACAAAGGTGTTCATTATAGTATTCTTTAAACCTTTATGTATATGAGATATTTCATAGTTTTAAAATTAAGGAATCCTACAGTCTAGCAGTTTCACTCTGAGATACTCCTACAGTGTGCATAAGGAGACCCGTGTAAGAATGAGCATTACAGCACGTAAGCATGAAAAACTGCAAACAATCCAAATGCCCCTCATCAGGAGAATGGAAAAATGAATTACGTATCCATACAGTTGGGGCGCCTGGGTGGCTCAGTGGGTTAAAGCCTCTGCCTTTGGCTCGGGTCATGATCCCAGGGTCCTGGGATCAAGCTCTGCATCGGGCCCTCTGCTCAGCGGGGAGCCTGCTTCCTCCTCTCTCTCTCTCTCTCTCTTTGCCTGCCTCTCTGCTTCCTTGTGATCTCTCTCTCTGCCAAATAAAAAATAAAATCTTAAAAAAAAAAAGTATCCAGGGACGCCTGGGTGGCTCAGTTGGTTAAGCAGCTGCCTTCGGCTCAGGTCATGATCCCAGCGTCCTGGGATCGAGTCCCACATCGGGCTCCTTGCTCGGCAGGGAGCCTGCTTCTCCCTCTGCCTCTGCCTGCCATTCTGTCTGCCTGTGCTCGCTCGCTCTCCCTCTCTCTCTCTGACAAATAAATAAATAAAATCTTAAAAAAAAAAAAAGTATCCATACAGTTAAAACCATTGTAGTTAATATGTATGAACTAAAGCCACATGTATTAATATGGATAAATCTCAAAATGTAAGTTGAGAGAAAGATAACCAAAGGATATTTTGAACATGTTACTATTTATATACAAATTAAAAACATGTAAAATAATTCTATATATTCTTTATGGTAATATACCTGTATTAAATATAAGACCATAGTTAGGAGATGTGATGTTCAGTTTGTATGTCAGCTTGGCTGGGTCAATACCCAGCACTCAGATATTTGGTCAAACATTATTCTAGATGTTTCTCTGAAGTTATTTCTTAGATGAGATTAACATTTAAATCAGTAGACTTTAAGTAAAGCAGATTACCCTCCATAATAAGGGTAGGTCTCATCAATCACTTGAAGGACTTAGTAGAAAAAGACTGACCTCCCAAGCAAGAAAAAATTCTACCAAGCAGACTGCCTTTGGATTTGAACTGAAACTCTTCTCTGGTCTCTAGTCTGCCAGCATACCCTGCAGATTTTGGATTGCCAAACCTCCATAATCTCGTGAGCTAATTCCTCAAAATAAATTATTCTCCATATATATATAAGGAGAAGAATTTATACACACACATCCTGTTTATTCTATTTTTTCTGGAGAACCCTGACTAGTACAAGAGGGTCAATATCCAAATTCAAGGTGGTGATTACCTCTAAGGATGAAGGGGAAGAGGATCGGGAGTGATATACAAGAAGCTGTAACCACACCTATGTTTTATTTATTTTTTAAAAATCTGAAGCAAAATAGGAAAAAGTTAAGCCTTGACAAAGCTAAGTGACCGGTATCCAATATTTGTTATGGTATCTCTGCTTTTCTGATGGCTTGAGATATTTCCTTTTTTTTTTTTTTTTTAAAGATTTTATTTATTTATTTGACAGAGCGATCACAAGTAGGCAGGGAGGCAGACAGAGAGAGGGGAAGCAGGCTCCCTGCTGAGCAGAGAGCCTGATGCGGGGCTTGATTCCAGGACCCTGGGATCATGACCCGAGCTGAAGGCAGAGGCTTTAACCCACTGAGCCACCCAGGCGCCCCGGCTTGAGATATTTCATTATGAAACAAATTATGGATCAAAAAGGCGGATTCGAAGTCTAATGAAACAATAACAAAATTACTTTATCATATTCTCCCTGGACGAAAAACTTTTATTGGCTCCCCAGTGTCATCAAAATAAAGTCCAAACTGTTTATACTGGCTTTCTCATTCTGATCCCAGTCTACTTTTTCAAATTTATTCCCCACTATTCTCTGTATCTGCTTGACATAGAATAGTCTTTACCTCTTCCCTCACTGTCTCGCATATCTCTTACACATTTCTACCTCATATCTTTTATTCATTCTCTCTCTCTCTCTTTTTTTTTCCCTAAAATACCATCTCTCCTCATCTTTTAAGATCCAGTTTGCCAGACTTCCTCTGTAAAGCCTTTCCTGATGCTGTGTTACCTGGCTTAATACATCAAGGGGTACTTATTTCATATGGCCTTAGATCAATAGACTTTTCATTTACTCTTGTCTTATCAACAAGTGAGTAGAACATAAATGGTATAAAAGTGTAAAATGGTGCCACAACTATGGAAAAAACTTAACCATTTCTCAAAAACCTAAACACAGAATTATCATATGGCCAAGCAATTCCACTCCTAGGTATTCCTAAGGGAATTGAGAGCTGGGACTTGGGAGGATACTCATATGCCAGTGTTCACCACAGCGTTATTCACAATAGCCAAAAAGTGGGAACAACCCAGGTGTTCATAAACAGAGGAAGGGATCAACAAACGTTGGCTCTTCATACAATGGAATATTTTTCTGCCATAAAACTAATGAAGTTTTAATGCATGCTAAAATGGATGAACTTGGAAAACGTGCTAAGTGAAATAAGTCAGACACAAAAGGACAAATATTGTGTTTCCACTTAACTGAGGTACCTCAAACAGGCAAATTCATAAAAACAGCAGATTTGCGGTTATCGGGAACTGGGGGCAGAGGGAAATGGAGAGTTATTGCTTAATAACTTAATAACCTCTATTTGAGGTAATAAAGAGTTTTGGAAATAAATAGTTGTGATGGTTGAACCACAAATTGAATGTAAGTGATGCTACTGTATTGTGCATTTTAAAAATGGTTAGGATGGCAAACTTTGTGTTTTATATATTTATATACGTATAAATAAATTTATATTTTTACCACATTTTAAAAAATTAATAATATAATAGGTTTTTTAAAAAGATTTTGTTTGTTTGACAGACAGAGATCACAAGTAGCAGAGAGCAGGCAGAGAGAGATAGGGAAGCAGGCTCCCTTCTGAGCAGAGAGCCCAATGCGGGGCTCAATCTCAGGACCCTAGAATCGTGACCTGATCCAAAGGCAGAAGCTTTAACCCACTGAGCCACCCAGGCACCCCAATATAATAGATTTTTTTAAGTTTAGTTATTTAAGTAATCTCTACATCTAACATGGGGCATGAACCCACAACTTCAACTTCAAGAGTCTCATGCTCTTCCGACTGAGTCAGCCAGGCACCCCAATATTATTATAGATTGTAAACTATTGAATTATACACTTTATTTTTTTAAAGATTTTATTTATTTATTTAATTGACAGAGAGAGAGACAGGGAGAGAGGGAACAGAATTAGGGGAAATGGGAGAGGGAGAAGCAGGCTTCCTGTGGAGCAGGGAGCCCGACGCAGGGCTCAATCCCAGGACCCTGGGATCATGACCTGAGCAGAAGGCAGACGCTTAATGACTGAGCCACCCAGGTGCCCCCGAATTATACACTTTAAATGAGTGAATTTCTTGACATGTAAATCACATATATTTTGATAAGTCTTTTTAAAAAGACAAACCCAAGATACTACTTCATACCCACTAGAACAGCTAGAATCAAAAAGTCATATAACTGGGACGCCTGGGTGGCTCAGTTGGTTGGGCGGCTGCCTTCGGCTCAGGTCATGATCCCAGCGTCCTGGGATCAAGTCCCGCATCGGGCTCCTTGCTCAGCGGGGAGCCTGCTTCTCCCTCTGCCTCTGCCTGCCATTCTCTCTGCCTGCACTCGCTCTCTCTCCCTCTCTCTCTCTCTGACAAATAAATAAAATCTTTAAAAAAAAAAAAGTCATATAACAACAAGTGTTGGTAAGAATATGGAGAGATTGGAACCTTCATACATTGCTTGTCCAGATATAAGATAGTGCAGCCATTTTGGAAAGCAGTCTGGCAATTCCTCAAATGACTAAACTTAGAGTTACTATATGACCCAGAAATTCCACTCCTAGGTATATCCACAAGAGAAATGAAAAACATACGTCCACACAGAAACTGGTACACCAGTGTTAATAGCAGCATTGTTTGTAATAGCCATTTTTTGTAATAGACCTTTGGATACAACCCCAAATGTCCATCAGCAGGTGAATGGATAAACAAAATGAGATATATCTATGCAATGAAATATTATTTGGCCATAAAAATGAAGGAAGTACTGATAGATTCCATAACATGGATGCTTGAAAACATGCTAAAGGAAAGAAGCCAGTCACAAAAGACCACATACTACGTGATTTCACTCCTATGAAGTCCAGAAAAAGCAAATCTTTAGAGACAGAGGATAGATTAAGCGACCAATGTTACTTAAGTCTAGGGGGAGTAAAGAAAGGAGGGATGGGGGTAAGAGCTACAAAAACGGGATTTCTAGGGCGCCTGGGTGGCTCAGTCGTTAAGTGTCTGCCTTCGGCTCAGGTTCTGATCCCAGGGTCCTGGGAATGAGTCCCGTTTTGGTCTCCTAGCTCAGCAGGGAGCCTCCTTATCCCTCTCCCATTCCCCCCACTTGGCTGTCTCTCTCTCTGTCAAATAAATAAAACCTTAAAAAAAAAAAATAAAATCTTTAAAAAAAAAAAAAAAAGAATGGGATTTCTTTTTGACGTGATAAAAATGTTCTAAAATTGACTTGGTGCTGGCTGTATATATCTGTGAATACACTAAAACCACTGAATTTATGATATATAAAGTTTATCTCAATAGAATTGTTTAAAAAATAGTCCCTTGATAACCTAAAATTTTATAAAGGAAAATGAAGTAACACTTCAGTACAAAGTATATTACGGATGTCTATCACTGACCATATCCACTGTGTGCATATCCAATATGCACATCAGCCTTTCTAGGAAGAATGGTTTACAATTTTTTTGTTTTCATAGGAAGTGCCCGAAAACTGGAGTTAAGGATAAGACTGTTCTGTAGGAACGTCCTGCTTGATCATTGGATACATCGGAGTGATTCTGCTTTTTGGTTGACACGTATATTAAAACCATGGCCAATGGTAAATCAGGCAAGATTATTATATATCATCTTCGGACCAGTATCTCCTCAAGATGGTGAGCATCCATTTTTTTAGGGATGTATGTTTCAAAAATGTTAATTACTTCTACTTTAGGAAGCATATCTTTTTATACCTCCTTAGTTTCCTTATTCCTAATGATTAAACTGTGTTTCATGATTTCACAGATATATACTACATTAGCTTATGCATAGCTTAAGCTTCAAGATTACAGGCCATTACCAAATATATTCCTGTCATCTCTGGTGTACCTAAAAATCACTACTTTTCATTTCTAAACATTACCTTACCTCAAGATTATGTTTCTGCTGGAAGGGAATAATACTATCTGTAAAACACAGTAGAAGTTAAATTGATGTTCTATCTAATTTGGGGTGCATAATATGATTATGCACATTTTTTTGCCTTTTTAATTAAGTTTGGCTTAGATTAATGTTAAAATTAGCGTGCAGTTCTTTGGTTCACATTACCTATATCAGGAGGTAACCAGTTTAAAGTAGCAGCAGGAAGCCAATCTGGGATTAAATTTTATGTGTAATTCACAAGGAGAATTGCTCATAGGTAAAGATTCAAAAATTGACTGGATTACTATGTTTTGATATATTTAATGTTTGGAAGACACTCAAGTACAGCATGCTCTCTTTTTGAAGGATATCAGATTTCATTTGATTTTAGTAAGATTACATTAATTGTTTATTATAACTTTTTTGAAGATTTTATTTATTTATTTGACAGAGAGAGAGAAGGCACAAGCAGGGGAAATGGGAGAGGGAGAAGCAGACTCCCCGCTGAGCAAAGAGCCTGATCATGACCTGAGCCGAAGGCAGACACACTTAACCTACTGAGCCACCCAGGCGTCCCATTATAATTTTTGTTATAGGAGTAGCATTATCTTTGAACTAGAAGCACTATTTTCTTGGTGAAACTACCTTTTCTTTACTTCATGTAGCAATTGTTGCTAAACTTCGTCACATCAGTCAGAGACGTTCACACTTATACTGTTGTCAGAATTGACTTTTCATTATGAAAGTAGCATATATAAGCAATGGGATTCTGTAATGCCATCCGATTTCCTTTTTTTTTTTTTTAAAGATTTATTTATTTATTTATTTGACAGACAGAGATCACAAGTAGGCAGAGAGGCAGGCAGAGAGAGAGAGAGAAGATGAAGCAGGTTCCCTGCAGAGCAGACAGCCCGATGCGGGGCTCGATCCCAGAACCCCGGGATCATGACCTGGGCCGAAGGCAGAGGCTTTAACCCACCGAGCCACCGAGGCGCCCCCCAATTTCCTTTTTAAACAATCCATGAATCTTTATCACAAAGCCAACTATTCTGTCATAGCCTAGTTTTTGTTTCAATTATCCAGGACAGGTGGTTTGGCAGAAAATGATAGAAGGACCTACAGATGAATCCAGTCTGAAAGGTTTGGCTGATGCTATTAAATTACTGTATGACACAGGCACCAAAGAGTGGACAGCAGATGATGTTATCAGTCTTGTAGATGAACTATCAGGTAAACGTACATATTTGCCACACAGAGTAGTAGAAATGTATTCTTAGAATACAGTTATAAAATTGTAAGGATAATCCTACAGGTAACAAATGAATTGCCTATTCAAAATCAATAAATGTTCTAAAATATTTGAAGAATTTGGTATATGTTTGAAGAGAATGCATATAATCAATTTCCTTTTCTCCAATTGCCAATAAATATATATTTATTATTATTTGAAAGTTTCATAATTTAATCAGCTCAGTTATTCCCATTTTGCAAATTCCAAATTCTCACAATCTCCTAGGTTGTGTAAGAAGAGAGCCCTCTCCTATTGGCTCAAAAGGAAAACAGTTTTTTCTATTCCTGCAGAATCCTTTAGATTCTAAAGGCTATAAGTTTTCTTTGCTTACACAGAATTAGATCACCTTGCCTTTTGATCTGCGTGTGGGGGAAATGCTTTGACTACATTGCTAGGACATTTGTAAAAGCCACTATAACTTGGCAATAATCTCTGTTTCTGGTTGAATGCAGTAATTGCAAAACTACAGCATTTTTTTTCTATGCTTTTCCCTTGGCTCTAGTTGTATTTCCAAAAAGGTAATATAATATTGCATGTATTTAATGATGTTTACTAGAGCTATTATGTAATTTCTCACTAAATAACTGTTCTTCCTCTAATAAAAGTGGTTCCCCGTGAGTGGCTCCTAGAGAATAATGCACGTCTCCTAATCCTAAGTGGAAACAACATCTGTTTCACTTTCATGGCGAGTAAAGCTGTGAATGGACGGGCCATTGAACTGGCAAAGCTGATAGTCTTTTTGGCTTTGGTAAGTAAAAAACAAGCTTTTCTCTAGCAAGTCATTTAACATTATAGTTGACTTACCAGGGAGCTGCTTGAAGGAACTGAAATATGTTCAGAACATTTTGAATGAATAAGTACTTAAGCATCTTTTTTTTTTTTAAGATTTTATTTATTTATGTGAGAGAGAGAATGAGAGAGAAAGCATGAGAAGGGAGAAGGTCAGAGGGAGAAGCGGACTCCCCATAGAGCTGGGAGCCCTATGGGGGCTCGGGACTCGATCCCGGGACTCCGAGATCATGACTTGAGCTGAAGGCAGCCGCTCAACCAACTGAGCCACCCAGCCGCCCTTAAACATCTATTTTATGTATATTGAAATTTTAAAAAATATATATAATATAATATATTTGGAATCATTCCTTATATTAATCTCACCCCACTTAATGTCCATATTTTCATTATACAGCTCTGCCTGAGTTATATTCTTTTTTAAAGATTCCACTTAAAAACAGCTTTTAGGGGCACCTGGGTGGCTCAGTGGGTTAAACCTCTGCCTTCGGCTCAGGTCATGATCTCACAGTCATGGGATCGAGCCCCACATCGGGCTCTTTGCTCGGCAGGGAGCCTGCTTCCTCTCTCTCTCTCTGCCTGTCTCTCTGCCTACTTGTGATTTCTGTCTGTCAGATAAATAAATAAAATAAAAAAAAAAGCTATAAAAAAATAAAATAAAAACAGCTTTTATGATTTGCTTCAAAATAATCATTGGGGAGCAGGAGAGGATGTGAAAGTAAATGGTAGTAGAGAGGAGACAAGATTGGTAATTGCTGAAGCTAAGGAATGGATATTGGGGGTTCACTATGCTACTATCTCCACTTTTGTATAATTAAAATGTTTTTCAAAATAAAACATTAGGGGTGCTTGAGTGGCTCAGTTGGTTAAGCAGCTGCCTTCAGCTCGGGTCATGATCCTGCGGTCCTGGGATCAAGCCCTGCACTGGGCTCCCTGCTCATCAGGGATTCTGCTTCTCTCTCTCCCTCTGTCTCCCGGCTTGTGCTCTCACTCTCTCTGTGTCAAATAAATAAATAAAATCTTTTTAAAAAGAAAAAAAAACACATTAAAGGGGGCCTCCTGGGTGGCTCAGCCGGTTGAGTATCCAACACTTGATTTTGGCTCATGTCAGGATCTCAGGGTCATGAGATCGAGCCCAGCATCAGGAGTCACACTGGATGTGGAGCCTGTTTAAGATTTTCTCTTTCCTTCTCCCTCTGCCTTGCCCTCCACGCCGCTCTCTCTCTCTCTCAAAAACAAACAAACAAACATTAGATATATTTAATATTCATTCATTTAAACACATTGAATGTTTTACTGTGGGCCTAACACTGTGTGAGATTCTAAGAGTATGGAAATTAATGGAACAAATCTCCGACCAAAAGCTGCTTAAGGTCTTTTTTTTTTTTTAAAGATTTTATTTATTTATTTGACAGACAGAGATCACAAGTAGGCAGAGAGGCAGGCAGAGAGAGAGAGGGGAGGAAGCAGGCTCCCTGCTGAGCAGAGAGCCCGACCTGGGATCATGACCTGAACCGAAGGCAGAGGCTTTAACCCCCTGAGCCACCCAGGTGCCCTCCTTAAGATCTCTTTTGAGATCTATCAAGGTATATATAAATAAATTCAGTGTGATAAGTACAAATATATGTGTGTTAAAAAGATACAAACAGATGTAGCAGAGGGGAGCCAATACTGGGTGAATATAGCACAGACAAGGCTTCCCCAGCCCCAGCAGAAATAGGTTTTTAAAAATGAATGGGAGGAGTTTAGTTTGCAGGGAGATGAGGGGTGGGTGTGTGTGTGCAAATTATTCTAATGTGTACCTGCATACGTTACATAGAAATCTCACTGATTTGCCTACTGTCACAGATGCCACCCCAGCCAGGGCTTCAGAAGCACTAGAATAGTCTTCCAGGTGACTGTTGTGAGGAATGAGTGATGTAATGCATTTCCTATGGAATAGATACAAGAATCTTTACCAAAGCAACAGCTTAAAACATGAATAAAACCTCTGTGGCTTTTCTTAAAATGCGAAACTGAAGAAAGCTATCAAATTAACTACATTCACAGCGTAAATATTTATTTTAGTAATTAAGCAGATTGCCTCTGAGAGAGAGAGAGAGAGAGAGATGGAACTGCATGTGTTTGCAGGACTGTAAGCCGCTCAGTATTATTTCAGGAGTAGAATCTGCAGAGGAGGAGGAGGTGAGGAAGGGTGGTAAGAAGGGAGAGGCTAGGTAAGGAAGGCTTTGCCAGCCATTCTGCGGGTCTTGAACACATCCTCTAATAGGGAGCTGCTGAAACGTTTTAGGAAGATGAGAGCCATGGTAAGTTTTAAGCGTTTGGAAGCTTACTTTGGCGGCACCGTAGCAAGTCACCTTTATTGACTCCCTAGAAAACCTCTGATAAACACCTCAGCGCTGATATTCATTTTCTCTAAGTGGCCTCAGTTTTGTCTTCTCTTCATCTTCAACTACTACTAGTGTTCTTTTTTTTTTTTTTAAGATTTTATTTATTTATTTGACAGATCACAAGCAGGCAGAGAGGCAGGCAGAGAGAGAGGAGGAAGCAGGCTCTCTGCTGAGCAGAGAGCAGGATGCAGGACTCGATCCCAGGACCCTGGGATCATGACCTGAGCTGAAGGCAGAGGCTTTAACCCACTGAGCCCCCCAGGCGCCCCGACTACTAGTGTTCTTAAACCATTTTATGTGTGGGGTAAATCGTCTCCCAGAAGAGACTGAGAGCTCTTTGACATTCAGGACTAGGTGACTTATTTGTTTCATAGTGCCTGGAACAGTGCCTTACACATAATACATAGTCAACAAATCTTTCCTGTTAAGTTTACATTATAACTAAATGTTGCACTACTATATATGGTTTATTTATTTATATATATGGTTTGTTTTCATACTGGATATTATTTGGCTATGTGAATTAAATTGGCCATTTAGAATGTTAGTAAATAAACCTTTTTCCTTTTGGCCAGCTTTAACTATTAACATGTATTCTTTAAATATTTTTATCCTTGGGGTGCCTGGGTGGCTCAGTGGGTTAAAGCCTCTGCCTTCAGCTCAGGTCATGATCTCGGGGTCCTGGGATCGAGCCCCACATCAGGCTCCCTGCTCAGCGGGGAGCCTGCTTCCTCCTCTCTCTCTCTCTGCCTGCCTTTCTGCCTGCTTGTGATTTCTGTCAAATAAATAAATAAAATATTAATAAATAAATAAATATTTCTATCTTTTATTTTTAAAAGATCTTATTTATTTATTTGTGAGAGAGAGTGAGCAAGAGAGAGGAGAGAGAGAGCATGAGCAGTGGGAGAGGCAGAGGGAGAGGGAGAAGCAGATTCCCTGCTGAGCAGAGAGCCCAGACAGAGGGCTCCAACCAAGGATCCTGGGATCGTGACCCAAGCCAAAGGCAGATGCCCAACCGACTGAGCCAACTAGGTGTCCCTTAAATATTTTATCTTTTAAGTAATGGATAAATATTCTGTACAACTCTCAAGGTGGAGAATTGATAAGATCATAGTTCTCTTGCCTATTAAAATTGCCTGTTTGTCATCCTTACTAGATTCCTGGAAAATAGAGGCCCTGTCTTTATGGCTTAACCATTGTATCTCCAGCTCTTAGCATCTGCTCAATAAATAATAACTGCATGAATGAATGAGCAGAAGTCTTATTTTTGGTATGTTTAACAATTATTTGTAATATTAGTTCTCACCTTAATGAATAATATGCTGTGATAATCTTGGACAAAGCTTTTATTTACATCACACTTTTTTCCACTAAAATTGTACCATTTGAAAGGAAAGGAAAATCAAATGTAGGAGCATTTCCCACTTACAAACTCAATATGATGTCATGTGTAATAAATTATATAAAGTCATAAACCATCATTGTCAATACCATTTTCAAATTCCAGTGTTTTCTTCACATGAAGCTTTACCATTACTCTTTTTATATCAAAATCAGGTTTGTGAGAAAGAACTATACTGCATGGATTGGGCAGTTAAAATGATGCAAAAAGTCTGTAAAGTCTTTAGCACTCCCATGGAAAGAAATAACTTCCTGCAGAGTGTGGCGAATGCATTCGCGTGTGTTATAATGGAAATGCTTCAGTCGATTATGTCCGGTGAGTGAGTGTGCTTGTAGACAGTGCACAGGTGTGACTACAATGCATTCTAGTCTCCACTTGAAACAGCGAATTCCATGTAGACTTTCATTTGTAAACCAAGAATAGAATAAGCATTTTTTGTTTATTTTTCCACAAGATATATTTAGCTCTTGGTTTTGCTACTTTTTAAATCTTGCATGGATTTTAATAGAAAACCTAAAGTTGAGGAGTCTGTTCTGAAAGGAGCTAGTTCCAGTTTTGCACAGCAAAACATTCACTTGCTCACTTCCCAACCATCCTAATCATCATAATAATGCCCTATATTGTTTAGTTTCAACACATATGATTATATAGTTCTATTAAGTAGCTAACATGATAATCACCCCTATTTTACAGATGAGAAACTAAGGCTTAGAGAAATTACTTGACTTGCCCAAGGTCATAGAGTTAGAGGCAGTAAAGCATGGAGCAGCATCCTTTTCTTCTGACTCCTTATTCAGTGCTCTTTTTTTTTTTTTTTAAAGATTTTATTTATTTATTTGACAGAGAGAGATCACAAGTAGACGGAGAGGCAGGCAGAGAGAGAGAGAGAGAGAGAGGGAAGCAGGCACCCTGCTGAGCAGAGAGCCCGATGCGGGACTCTATCCCAGGGCCCTGAGATCATGACCTGAGCCGAAGGCAGCGGCTTAATCCACTGAGCCACCCAGGTGCCCCCTTATTCAGTGCTCTTATACAGTTCCCTGACTTAGTAAAGATCACTGACTAGTCCTCTGTTACCTATTATTAGGGAAAATTGGAACATCTTATTCCAAATAAATCATTTATTTAAAAATTTAACTGTCATTTTCTTTTCCCTACTATCCATTCCTGTGTGTGGCATACAGGAGACCGTGACGAAGATGACAGAAGCTTTCTGAATTTGTTCCATCTTGTGCATGCTCAGGCAAACTTCCATAAGGAGGTCTTGTATTTGACCATGAATACTCTTTCTACCTAAATACTCAGGAAGTCTTGCATTTCGAGAATACCTCGCCGAAGAAACAATCAGAAGAGTGCTACTTTTCCACACTCAAAGAATAACATCCATGGGACTTTTTATGGCCTAAGTAACCTAAAAACTTAAGAAAAAAAATTTAGAAGCAACTGCTTGTACCATTATTAGTATAAAAATTACAGGCAAACCCAAGAGTGTATTGAGATTTCTCCAGAAAACAAGCTGTGCCTTTCCAGATTTTGGTAAACATAACCCCCAACTAGATAGAGCATTAGTGCCCAATTGGGGGCCAACCTGTATGTATTGGATGTTGGAAGCAAGGGAAAATTCTATTTTGTAAGTAGAGGTGACTCAAATTCATTAAGTGGCTTCTATATGTTCACTTTGCTTAGGTCGTGTAGACATAACCTAGTATGCTTTATAAAGAACTGTAATATGATGCTTTGGAATGTGCAGATAGAAATCACATTTTTTACCACCTTATGGCATAGAACATATTTCGTTGATGTTTTACATGAACTAACAGATCAAAAACTAAAGGAAGTGTGTGTATATATATATTCATACGTATATACATATGTCTGTATATTTCTATACATACAAACACACACACACACACACACACACACACACATTTCCTTCTTTAAGACAAAAGTCTATAAATAGAGGAAAGTATATGTTGTCTTAATACAATTAAGTCATCTTTTATTCCTTCCTGGAGATTAGAGTAAAATGTTGCAAATAAGGGAGAATATAAAATGAAAGAAAGTACCCATTCTGCTGCCAGAATAATCTTCACAAATAATTTGCACTTCTTCCTAAAGCTTTCCTCTCTCTCTTCAAGAGTGGGGTTTGAGGGAACCTGGAAGCAGTGTGCATGGGGAGGGCAGCCCTGAGAGAGAGGGGTTTCACTCCAGTAAATGCATTCCAAAGATGCTCCAGGACTATTTCAGTCTGACTAGCATTTACCCACCACTTTTACTATTAAAATAGAAACGAACACTGTCTCATGGGGTTGAAATCATGCTGGGGCCCTCGTGGATCTCCCATTTTCTTCTCCTTGGGTTTGACCATTTTATTTCTGCTGAAGATATACTCATTCCTACTGGACTTCTTAGAGGATGGCTTTCTTTTTCTAAGCCTTTGACTTAACTCACCTCTGCAGCTGAGGAAGGAAAGGAACACTAGAAAATACGGAAATTACCCATAGAAGTGGGGTGTAAATTGTGTAATTTGTGGAAAATTCTCAAGTGTTTGGCAAGAGTTTAATAAGATAGAGGAAGAGTGAAAATTTGGGGAAAAATATAAATTGTGATAAAAGATTTTACTATATTTCAGTAACAAAGGTACTTACCTTCATTTTTGAAATATTGGAAGTTAACTACCTTTCTGTGATGAATCGTCCAACTATAATTTCATCAATGGCAGAAATTTTTTTCTCCAGGGTTTAGTATTTGCATATTCATGCAGAAACAAAGTTCGTGCTTTTCTCCTGGTTTCATTTTCTTCCTCTCATTTTAAGAATTCACCCACAACTAAATTATAAGGATTAAAAATTGGCAAAGACCAGAATACAAAATAATACCTTGATTTTTAGCATTTTCTTCCCCCCCTCACTCTTTTTCCTGTACATGCTCTGGAAAGCCTAATCCATATATTTATCAAAACACTGGTGATTCCAAATCGACAGTATACCCATTAGATTATTTGGGGCAGGGAAAGAAGAGTAGAGGAAAAAGTAAAAATTTTAATATATACTGAATATTTTTAGTATTTTACTCAATAGATATTTTCATTCTCTTAGAGAAAGAAATTTGGCTTTGTGAAGTTTCCTTGAATTATCCAAGTCCCCACAGTGGTTTTCGAAAGAAGCATGGTTTAACTTTACATGTTTTGGACCCAGGTTTTAAATCTCCTGTACACTTGAACTGACGTGACTACTACTATAAAATTTTTTTACACGTATTATTATATTATCCTGGATAAATGTGAGATTATTATGTCACCCTCCTCCAAAATTTGGAATATAAAAAAATCGAATTCATCTTTGGGTGCAGTAGATAAATGATATTGTCTCACTACCAATAAAAAGTAAACTGACTTCATTCAGTTATCAATAGATAAAAACACTGAAACCAAACTTGCAATTTCCTCAATTTAGCAGCCTGGTTTTTTTGTTTTGTTTTTGTTTTTGTTTTCCAAGCGGAGTCAGGAATAAAGTGTGATATCAAATGTTTAATTGGGAGGTTGATTTGCAAAAGTGCATGTTGTTGTCACTGGTGTCAATGTTTAATTGACAGAATAGACACTTAGTACCACCAAACAAGGAGTATTAGCAAAACGCGTAGCCTGAAATTACTAAGAACTTGTCCACTTATGACTAACTTTAGAACAGTCATAACGTAACAATGTGAGCTGCTAACAGGTCAGATAATTTATCCTATATCTTTTCCTAAATTAGAAGATGGACCTGAAAAAAAAAAAAAAAAAAGAAGATGGACCTGGTTGTCTAGCTCTTTTATTCCTTTTAAAAGTGATTCCCTCAATCTCCTTTCAGTTGAAGCTGATTTTTACCTCTCTTAGAAAGCGAGCCCATGGCTACATCATTATATTTATCATACTGTTGTTTCTAGACACATACACACCATACTAATAAACTGAGGACACGTCTTTTCTTAGAAACTAATTTAAAGTTTATATCTTGTGATAAATACTCTATGCCTTAAGAAACCATGGAACATCTATCCTTAACACTTTTTTTTTTTTTTTGATAATTCCTTCTCATGCCCTTCTGATCCCTCAACTTTTTTATCATATTCACAATGCAGGCCGTAAATTACTGTATTGGGGAAGCAGCTTAATCATTCCAGAAGTTCAAGTGGTTGCTTATCAGGCTGCTCTCCACAGCATGAACAATAGACACCTGACTTCACACTTTCCCTGTCCTTTGATGACTTAGTTCATGCTTCCCGTTCTTCCAACAAGAACAAAGATTTTTATTGCCAGGATAGTCATCCACCTTAAGTGGAGATTAGAGCAAGCCCACCCTGAGGTGTGCAGGGAAAGATGCAACTGGAAGAACCATCTTATATTAATAAAAACAAACCTTTATCTCTTTGTGTGATTATTACTTGAGAGTCAATCTCTTTAAGTGAATAGGACAGTACTCAATTATATGATTACAGATTTCTTTTCAGTTCTACTAGCAGGTAGCAGTGAAACCTGTAGGAAATCAGGTCATGGACATATGCTCCTTGGTTTATTGAAACATCACTAAGATAGGAAAGATGACCCAAAAGACATCTGTATTTGATAGTCTTCTCTAAATTAAAATAAAAAGTGATGAAGTACCAAGAACACAGTTTTTTTTCCATCAAGAGAGCAAATATAATTCCAGAATATTCTTCAAGTAAACAGAGACCAAAAAAAAAAAAAGTTTAGCTCTCAAAAGGCTTTCTTACAGATATGTATAAAATTGAAAAATATGTATTGTTATTTTTAAAGTATTTATGGCAAAATGTCTTTGATACCTTAATATTTGCTAAATTTTATTTAATTTGTTATTTATTCATATTAATAAAATTTAAATTAGAAACATTCTGACTTGTATAGTGTTTGTTATTATGCCAGTCATTGAGTATAATTCCTTTATTTCTTATGGAGGAAATTTTTTTTTTTAAGATTTTTTAAAACTTATTTATTTCACAGACAGAGATCACAAGTAGGTAGAGAGGCAGGCAGAGAGAGGGAAGGAAGCAGGCTCCCTGCTAAGCAGAGAGCCCAGGGCTGAATCCCACGACCCTGGGATCATGACCTGACTGAAGATAGAGGCTTTAACCCACTGAGCCACCTAGGGGCCCCAGGAACTTATTTTTATTTAAGCTGTTAGTTGTAGCTCTACCATGATCAAAACACAAAACATCCTAATAAAATGTTGCAGGTAGCCATATATCTATGTTTATTTATGCTTAGTATTACAGTACATAAGTTAATTAGTTAAATAATTTCATTTACTAGCAACAACTCGTAAATTGAACAATAATCTATAAGTAGAACAGTGTTTTGTACTATTCTCCTATTTAATTCAGAGACCAAATTCCCAAGCAATTAATGTTCCAAATACTACAGTTACCATTGTTTAACATCAATTTCAAAAAACAAAGTGTGTAGTAAGTATTGTGGATTACCTGCAATTTCCCATGATCACAAGCTCTCTTTTTCTAAGAAAAAAGAAGTTCTTAAATATGTCTAAAGGGGGGGCGCCTGGGTGGCTCAGTGGGTTAAGCCGCTGCCTTCGGCTCAGGTCATGATCCCAGGGTCCTGGGATTGAGTCCCGCGTCGGGCTTTCTGCTCAGCAGGGAGCCTGCTTTGCTTCCCTTCCTCTCTCTCTGCCTGCCTCTCTGCCTACTTGTGATCTCTCTCTGTCAAATAAATAAATAAAATCTTTAAAAAAAAAAATATGTCTAAAGGTATCCGCCTTTGCATCTTTGAGTTCATAATGGAAGTGTGTCAATAGTTTTTTCTGTTTCCTCTTTTATAAATGATTTTGGTTTTTTGTTTAAAATAGATGGGACAAAACTAACTTAGAATAGGTCATTCTAGGTTTAGCAAAATTTGGAGTGTCATAATGCCAAATCATGTAATTTACAATTTTCCACCTCAACTATGCTAAGTCTTTTCTTAAAGGAAATTCCTTTTTTTTGAGTAATTTAAAATTAAAATGATACTTTTAGGGGATTTGAAGTCTGAATAATGCTAATTTTAAGCCCTTTAAAAGCAAACACATTTTCTGGAATTTAATAAATCATGTCATGCCAAGTTGCAAACTCAGAAAGTTTGGATTTGATTCTGTATACCCAGAACAATGAGTCTTAGGTGGCTCAAAACTTAGTAACATTTATCTTTCCATTATTTAAACGTTTCCCAAAATATATCTTCTTTCTCCTGAAATAAAATATGTCACTTCCCCATAAAAATCTCTATTTCTTGTCGGGAAAGCAGGA